ATAGTCAAATGCAAAATGTAACTTTCCTTTTGTCTTTATATTTCCAATTATACATAGAGTAAGAAATAATGAAAGATATTCTATGAATAATTTATCGTGATAACACGCGTCACAATAAAGATTGACCATGATCGGTTATACTTGAATGATTAGTAGATCATCCTAGCATTTGGAAAGAATGTGCTTTGTGCCTCTTTATTCATAATTGATGTGGGCAAATGAGAGTCGACAAAAGGCACCTTACCAAATTGGACTGAAAATCAAAAAAACCAGCTAAACGGAAAACTAATATTAAGAGTAGAATAAAAGAGTTTACAGGAAGTTTTGTTTAGGTAACATTGCTGTTAAGTTGCCATGGTAAAGAGTGGGAACGTAGTTTCGGAAAAGTTCCGCTTTCGATCGTGAGTCTTGTGGAAGTGTATTCGAGCAGTCGGAAGTGAATCTAGCTCTGCTATACTTATCGAGATTTATTGCTAAAACTATACTTGTATTTGCCGATGAACGCTTTTAACAGTTGCATATAAACTTTATTTAAAAAAAACACAAAAAAGCGGATATGTTCAGATATAATTTCTTGTGAACGCGCCATAAAAATCTCACATTAGAGTATTCATTTCTAAGTAATATTGAAAAACAATTTGTTCTTTGTTTTCCTAGTTTTCTCGTGAAAGGCACCAATACCATAAAGTTACAGCTACGTAGCTCTACTTTCTTATTACACTCCTACATATTTTTACCTTTTTCTCATTTTATTTAATTTTTAAAAATAGCTTTATCTCACTCACAGAAACAGCTCTTTAAAAAATATTATTTTTAATATATCCTATCACCATTATGCGAATATACCCAGATTAGTTATCAAATAAGAATGATGTACAATATTCTTGTATAAAATGTTAACTTTACTTTTCATATGAAGCTCCTTCGAGAGGCGAATCTATAATTTTCACGTTTGGGATCCACCACGCTAACCCCTAAATTTCAGTTTCCTCCTCGTCCTTATTTGCACCGTCCTAATTCACGGCTCGACAGTGAGATCACGTTCGCATTTCAAATGTCATCTTTGCTTTCTTTATAATTCTCTAACAATCGTGTGGTAATACGTTCAGTATACATTTATCCTTAAACAAATAAACTTCAACTACGTTATCATTGCCTACATACGTTATTTGTGCAACTCAATCCTTCAAGTAAATTTTTTAATGCTAGAATACAGAATCTCATTTACTACGAATTCAGTCCCCTTCAGGATAAAAATTTCTTTGCAATTCTCTTAACTCTTTGAAAGTCGTTAAATTGTAATATGAAAGATATTTCGATCTAATTGGAATTATGCATTATGTATGCCGTAGCTTATGTTAATGTTAGAGTCTTCACAGAAATGTGCCGCCAAAGAGGACTTAGGCCGTATCGATCACATTGAGCGCAGTGAAGCAGTGCTTCCGTGGGTTGCACATTTTCTGTCTTCGTTGGGCAACCCTTTTCATATGTGGTTACCTCAATAATATGGTTTAGCATTTTTCTTATATCAGAAGTGGCTTGTATTTGGACTAACACATACTTTGTGCTTCGAATTTTGGGTTAAAAATTTAACCTTCGCTTATCTAACATTGAAGTTAAGCGATCTTAACTTAGCGTTGTCATTACCAAGATCATCATAGTTCCGCATGCTTAGCAGTTTCGAATGCCGCTTTAATACTTCAAATATGCGTTAAATATAACTGTTCAAATTATTCTACTGCTATACACAAGGTGCTGTGACAGGCTTGGTAATGGCTATGCTAGATTAAGATAGCTTAGAATTTCAATGCTGGATGCCTCAACGTATACTTTTTTAAATCTAGATTTGTAAGTACAAAGCATATGTCAGTCTAAATACGGACCTTTTTTGGTATAAGAAAAGTGGTAGACTCCATATTACCAAGGTAGACGTCACACGGCATGCTGAAAAAGCAAGTAGAATGCATACCACAATGTTACTATCTGTTCCATTTATGAGGGACATGCTTAATACATGACGTTGCGCGATGGTATGTATGTATATTGGTCTTAAAAATCATTCACGTATACTTGTTCGTTGCTATGAGGTTGTTTACAATCTGTGGTACAGCGTAAATTAAGAGGAATTTTACTTTCTCGTAAAGATGGAATGTTTTGACAAGCAGATTTTAATGAATTTGACAATCATATTTTGTTTAATATCAATTGTAATATGTTCTGGATTGGTATTGCATTCGAAAGATGATCCTTCATCCGTTATAATAATTCTTTTTGTATACACTTTGAATGAAAAATCTTTGCTAGCTTGACGTCTAACGTACTTTTCCCCTACGATTCGAATCGTTCAAGGGATTTCAGACCACTGTTTACGTTACCACTTAACCCTCTGCTCCTCAAATGCCACAAATATCCACGAGTGTTCTTTCATCTGGAGCCTGAAAAATACGTTACTATCCGCGTATCTTGCTCGACTGGAAATATGCGAAACTGCGAAAATCGCCCTCGGGGATCCGAACTCTGGGGGTTGATTTCACCCTCTAAAAACCTTTTTCTGACGATAAAAAAACACGTGTCTCTTGGCTTTTGATGAAGAATAACATATTTCAAAACGAAAGAAATCGGACAGGGACACCTGAGCTACTTTCCTTGTGACCTGACTATGCGGTAACAATTCCGTATTTAAAAGCAGATGATTAATGTATTTTTCTGCAAAAGAAACATTTTTTTGAGAATGAATGATTTGTTTCTTATAAGATTCATCAATCCAAGTTTACTTGAATAAAGGCAAATCGTCCAGAATGTTGCTTTTTGAGTAAATAATAGAGCTATGGCAATTTAAACATCGACTTCAGTCTTAAAATAATCAAACGCGTTACAATATTATTTTCAAAGTCTGTTTTCAGATATCTTTTACTATAACCTTCTGAACCATACATTTTTTCTTATCTATGATTTACTTGAAATCTGTTATATTTCGGGGTTTTTGAGTCCGCTCATTACAAATCTGAACTCAAAATTCAGAAATTAAAAATGACGGATCTAATATAGTTTCATAAGAAATTCAGTGAAGCAGAATCAATCAATATATTAGAAACTGCTTATGGTTTGGAAATTCGACCTAGAATTTCGTAGTTCCAAACATACACTTGCAATTAACTACCTAACAAAATCTCCCATTGACAAATCGCATGCAATATGAATACCCTTTGTTTTTCAATATGAATACGCCATATTCGAGCTGTCATTAGAATTTGTTGTACAATGTCGAATTTTACACAATTAAGCCAATTTTTAATAATCCAGTCTATCATATTGGAACTCACATTTAGAATTTTTCGACTTTTACTTCAAATTCGTAACAATCAACCAAAAAATCACTATACAGCCAGTTTTATAAAAATTAGCATTTTTAATCTTCATTTCGTTATACGGAATCCGTTTTGAAATTTATATTTCTTACTTCAGGTTCGAAATTAGAAACCTAAAAAACTGCTGTGAATCGAATTTTACATAAAGCGGCCTAATTTTTACCTTTTTCAACAGCTATTTTTACAGTTGATTGTATATTCGTAACCGACTACCCAAAATATCTCCAAAAAGCAAGTCTTAAGCAAATATTAATAACCGAATAGTTGTAAGCACGATTTTTCAGAAAAAAATTAATTTCGACAGTTTGCTTATTCATAACTTGTTTCTCATTGTAATTAACATTAAACGGTTCTTACATTTATTTTAGACTTATTTAAGTTTTAAATATTCCGTGATAGCAAAGAGTGTGGATATACATATAATCGATCCACGAGTTCGATGTGTTTTTTGATAGAGCGACAATAATAAAATTTCTTTTTCTGATTTTCCGCTAAATATAATTTATTTTTATATTTTAGTATATAATTGTTACACTATTTTCTGGAATGCCACGTACGATTTGTTAAGAATTGCGTCGCGCACAAATTGTCAAAATAACACATTGAACTCGTGGATCGACTGTAGTTGTGAGGAAATCATTATCTGATTGAAAGCTGAGAAGAAAAAGTTGGTTCGTTGATCCATCCCTTCGATTATCCACTTTTACGAAGCCGTTTGATTAGGTCACGTTTTTACGACGCAATAATTATTGTTCATAATCGACCGCTATTGAATGCATCGATACGTATTCAATAATAATTTACATTAAAATATTTAATAAACATTTGTCCTTATTAGCTGTACATGTTCTGCTTAGTTCGATTTTTTTAGTTTTCGTGAAAATGTCTCTTACAAAAAAATTACTTAATATTTGGTGATGTAGTATTTTTATGGTATAAAGAGCAATTACCATAAAATTTAGAAAATTGTAAAGTAAAGGTAATTTACACTTTAGGAAAGCTTGATGAACAGTAATTTGAATCTTTCATAAATATTATGATCTAATCGGTTTAATAACAATTCTGGTGCATGTTACTCGTTTAAACGTGTATATGATATTTTTTTATGTAACGAATGCTGAAGGAACACCCGGTAATGTGTCCTTGGAGGGAACCTTCAAATATTATTTTTTGAAGAAATTACTACAAAATTACCTAAAAATTTAAGATAGTGACGTTATAGTCACCTGAAATATTTTCAAGCAAGGGAAAATCTATTAAAAAATATGTTTAAGCAGGTAAACAGTGCCATCTCTCGTGAAAAAAAAAAGATTAAACAGAGTTTTCTTTGATCATTTGTGACAAAAACTGTTGCATCTAATTAATGCGAGTGAGTATAAAACTCGTGTGATTGGTATACTCGTATCTTATACTCATTCGTACTAACAATATAAAATACTATTCAATAATGAATGTTTCCGGAGAAAATGACAAGAATGTCATAGAATAGGAATCAATCAGTTAATAATGCGACTCATGTTGCGATTATTGTATTATGTGGTGTTTTCAGCGTGTGATATCTGTACCTAATAACATGCGACGTTATGGTGTCGGTATCGTATATAAATTGATCGAAATTTAATAGTCACTCACCCGTAAGTAGAAAAAACAGCGACATTCGTGGCCTTGAATCCATTCCCAGAATCCAAATTTGATAAACTTGAGCGATGACCTCTCTTCAATGCATTTCTTAATCTTTCCTATAACATAAAGAATGGACATTTTTTAACTAACTGGGTGAGGTTTACTTTGAAAGCAAATGGGAAAAAAATAGTAGTCCAATTGATGCATACTATTGTATATTCATAATATTGTTGATGTACACTTACAATTATAGTCCAATATCAATTCTATTTTGGGAAATCATCTTTCTGTTCATTAAACTCTAAAAAATTCTCATAAATCTTAAGAGCAATAATTCTGAACGTCAGTTATATTATATTATCCCGTCTTTCGTTTTTCGACGCATTTAATATATTGAAGCAAAATATTTTTCCTGAAATTAAAATCAATTTGACGGGAGTTATTATCATCAGGAATTTTATCTCGCTATACATTTCGAATCGATCGATTCTACAGCTCGTGGGAAATCTTAAAGAAAAACATGGCCGACGATGAAGTACAAGTTTACGCTTACTATTTTGTAGAAACATAGGATATCATTGGCATATTCGTTACCTACTTCGTTATTAAGTAAATACAAATAATTTAATATTTATACCGGATGAAATGATTCAAAACGCGTATCAATGTCGACAACGAAATTGGTAATCTATGTGTATGATAACTTCAATGGACCGATATAAAGTTTTTTATCGGTTTTAATTTATGTTTATTGCCGAGAAAAAAATTAATGTTATTGATAAATACATTTCATAAATTTCTTTATAATGGTATACCGTTCTACTGTTACATAAGTATAATTACAGAAGTTTTTTAAAGAAAATAAATTGTGTTTATCCATTTAAAGTTAGTTTTCTTGTAACTGAACTTCTATTATCCCGAATTTTCAAGAATACTAGCATGACAATTCATTTGGAGTACAGAATAGGTTAGCTCACGTTAGGGTAGTTTGTGTAAGGTTAGGTCTTATTTGGTATAGTCTGGTATAGTCTAAGGGAAAGAACAGTACAACCAGGAGTTTTGTTAGAGTATACAAACGCCACTGTTTGGCCAGTCCTCATTATCGCTGCATTTTAAATTTCTGGCTCATTTTCAACACCGAAAGGGCCCTCCTAACCTATAGGGCCCTTGATCCGACAGGTTTTTTTTTCTACGTATTTGGCATCCTTTATTTACCAGTCTTCTGCATTCTCTTTTGTACTCTGGAAGAATATTTAAATTTTTCGGTTTTTCTATATGCCAATGTCTGTTCATTTTAAATTTTAAACAACAATGACGTAAATGAGTGAATTTCGCTTATTTCATCTGTAACGGATATTTTATTACTTTTTATTACTCACTATCCATGACAGCACATTGAGCTCTTAAAGATTTATTACAGAATTCTCAAGTCCGAGTAAGATATCTGAGAAGTTAGTCAGAAAGTGCTCTGTTTGTGCACTTGGACAATTATTATGTATCGATTTTAGAGCCAGTTAAGATATTATAATGCAAAAAAAAACAGTTTTTCTGCATATCGCATAATGTTCAAACTCAATAGCCAACTTGTAGGCAACATTTGCACTAAAAAAGTCGTACAATTTTTATTTCGAAACGTTTATATAATACTATTACGGTTTGATTGTGCTTGAATATCGTTTATTATTTGTCGCTGATTACGAATCAGGAATCAGATTTTTCAGATCCGATATAGCTGATAAAAATTCTAAAAAATATTTGGATTTTAGGTTAGATATTCGGGTGTTCTGCTTCTCGCGTCTCACCCTGTATAGGGTAAAATATATATAATATATATATGTATATACATTATACATATGTATTGTGACGTTATTTTTGGACGTCACAAAAAGTTCCGTATTGATAACTTCCGTTTTTCAACTTCAGGACGCATTTACGTCCTTTTTCCAATAAACTGTCACGTAACCGGCCAGAAACTCTAGGGTCATAGGCTAATTAGTGAACACTAAGCTAATACCAAACTGTACAAATATTTCATACGTCACGACCGCATCACCGGTAACAAGCCATCCAAACAACTGGAAACCGATGAAGGAGGATAAGCAGATCTTATGCCAAGGAACGTGGAGAGCTGCCGTGCCGACCTGACGACTCCACCCTATATTCGACCTTACCCGAAAAGAAGTACGGAGGGTCACCCAAAAGGACAGCGCCATGGATTTCACCTCACCTTTCATTTTGTATTGCCGGCATCGACAGTCCACAGTATTGGGACTAGTACCGAAGACGAGGAAGTCTCGAGTTCCGCGAACTCCTCGTGCTGGATGATTAGCGAGCCCTAGAGTGGAGGAACTCGAGGCACCGTAACTAGCTTTCCATAGGAGGCAGAAACGACCAGACATATCGGAGTCATCAGAATCGCAGCCAATGTTGTCGAGGCAGGGCCGGAATCTCATAGCCACAAGAGGCAACTGGACACCCCGAGATACGGTAGCGAGGCTGTGACTATGTTCCGCGTGGTTAGCGAGCTTACGACCAGGATGTCAAAGTGTTGCGTTTAGTCCGCTGTTGGAACTTTATTATTGCATCATAGGCTCCAAAGAGATAAAGTGAGAAAGTTGCAACGCATTAACATGAAAATAACTGAATTTAAAAAGAGATTTGAAAAAGATGAGTATTTTGGTTGGAAAAAATTCTATGAATCTCACGAAACTTCTGATTGTAATCTATTATTATTATTATTATTATTATTATTATTATTATTATTATTATTATTATTATTATTATTATTATTATTATTATTATTATTATTATTATTATTATTATTATTATTATTATTATTATTATTATTATTATTATTATTATTATTATTATTATTATTATTATTAGACTTCATTTCTCGTATTTTCAGATAATCCTCATTGTATATTGATAATACACATTTCCATTACATTCTAAATCTTCACAAGTTAAAAGAATAATCAATCTTTCTACATATCAGTATACTCTTTTTCATCTAACTTTAAAAATACTAAACTAATGGATAGAAGACGGAACCACGTGATGGTCACATAAAATGTTACGAAAATACTAGTATAGTTCATTATACTGAAAAACCATTAGCTTTTTATATAGCAAAAAGTTTCCATAAATTTTCAGAACAATAGTGCAAAAGTTTGTCCTAATTGATGCCATGGAATTTCATAGAAATACATTCAAGCTATGTATAACGTGCACAAAGATCCGCACACGTATTTCATTTTACAAACTGCATATATGTATATGTCTGTATCGTAAACTGGAAGTTGTATCAACGGTCAGTTAAGCGCGACGACGAAGGCTGCTAGAATGACTGGGGTGTGAGTTGGAGATGAGGATTCTACAGTGTACACCGGAATCGCCATGGCGATTATTTTTCACGACGTGGACATCCGCTCCCGGTTCGCGATCACCGCGAAATAGAAACAAAAAATAAGATGAACATTGTATAGGAAGGGGAAAATAGAGAGAAGTTTGCCAAGCACAGTGCAGTTTATTTTATTCCACGGACTAGTTTTTTTACCAATCTTTCCTACCCCCCACAATCAGAGCCGTCAGCTCCGTACTTCCGGATCTTTTTATACATGCTTTCCAGTCTTTTCCGTTCGTTTCATTGTCTCGTTTGCGATGCTTCTTTAATTTTCTATTTTTTTATATTTCATTTAGTTTCTTTCGTCTTTCTGTCGTTTCTTCCCTATTTTTACGGTCGCATTAAATGTCTTTTGCAGAAAGTTAACTTTGCTACATCATCCTATAAGAGAAAAAACTTTTGACAAACAAAGAGGAAGAAAAAATACATTTTTGCTCTAAATAGAAGTTCTGTGTTGGTGAAGATGGGAAATATGATGCATAGTCGAAGACGCAGGAATAGGAAATGATAAAATTTGAGAAAATGAAAAAAAAATGATGTAGGTAGAGAAGAATATAGGAACGCAGTTGATAAAAATCGAAGCAGAAAATCTCATTAAAACATCCAAAGCTCTCTTGATTACGCTTCTGTTTTTTGCCGCTGCCTCATTGCCCCACTCTCATTATCACAAATTTTCATTCATTCGTTGACCATCCTATTTGAAAAAGCTCTGCCGTACTACATAATTCACCAAACCGTGCACGTAGTCTTCGGCTAGAAAATAAGTCATTCGAAAAGTCGCCATTCTTCTTAAATCACTTTCCGTCAATCTCCATACTTCTTACGACGCAATAAATATATTTATGTATTCCTAACTAAATAAATATTCCTTGTAGTATTACGAAGTGTAACATTCTGAAAATTCAAACAATAGTAGGATTCTAGAAATGTTGATTAATCATAGATATGACGGAGTAGGGGTAAAAAATATACGTTTATGATTAGCGTGAAAAGTAACAATTTCGGATATTGAGACGAATATTATCTTTATAGGTGCGTGAGGATTGTGAAGGGGGATGCTGAAACCTGCTTAGTATTCGGACCCGTTGTTCGGGTCAAGTACGTAGTATAGTTTTATGATACATCTCATTCACATTTGGCACGATTCCCTCATCCATGGTTTGACTTTTCATTTCGTTCTATATTATACTTTTCTGTATTTATATAAAACAATTCACAGGCATTCATGTCCGTAAGCATAGATCTGTGTGAACGTGAATTAACTGGAATGTGAATAAAGTAGTGGCAACGCATATACGTTTGGAGCACCCGCTCAATGACTTCACAAAAATGCACTTGATTTACAAATGGCATACGTCTGCAGCGGTTTTCTTTTGGTGCAGTAGAGATAATGAATTTATCAACGGTACTCATAAACCTATGTATTCTACTTTATTAAAATTATTAAATTAATATTTATGTTTCAAAACGTTAAAAATTTTTACCCTTTCCGCATCTCTCAGCACAAGTGCAAATGTTTTGTGCACGTCGCAGTGTAATAAAGTCGTAATGTAATGTGTGCGATAGGTATGAATATAGAAAATGGACTTGTTGCAAATTTTTGGCAAATAAATCAAAACAGAAGAATATCTATTCGGAAGACGGAGGTGCCGTTCGACAACTGTGCTACATGATTATGACGTTAAGTGGATGAGATTTTGTATTATGATTT